TATATATATATATATATACGCGTAACGGACAGCGAGCAGCTGATCCATTTCTGAGTTTACGACTTTCGATGTTCAACTCAATAGCCTGGCAAATTTTGAAACCAAACCCAGGAGACAAGAGAGCTCCCGGATCAAGCATTAGGCTAAGCTAGTCTTCGAGGAGAACTTTTTGATGGAACTAACCCGTATTTGCATTACACGAAGAAGAAAACCACTAAAACCTTCAAAGGTTAGCTCAACGGCTAGTTGAGTAAAAGTCGAAATTGTTTAAAATGCTTGAAACGGCCAGTGGCCAATAATAAACTTTCGTAATTTTGTCTCAAGGCACATTTTGAGCTTTGGATATCTATGCGCAACATTAAAAGTGTACATAAGTTATATTCAAAATTAACTAATAGATACAATAAACAAAAATACTTACATTAATTAAACTTGTGAGTAATTCACGTATCTGTGAAGAAAAATGAAAAATATTTCTGGTTAATAACAATGCATTTTATGAAAAAAATTTACGCAATTTTCAGTTTATTGACAGGGTTTGTGTTTGTACGTGCTTGAAGAAGAAATTAATTTGCTTCAGGTACGTGTGCTGTATACAAGGTATAAAGAAGATGCAAGTTATATATATATATAACCACATAAACCTACCACAATTAGTCTGCAACAAAGAACAATTAGTCTAGAGGATTTTAACCCATGATCCCTCGACAACTGAAGATATTTTGCGTCAGCACTGTGGTAGTGCAAGCCGGGTCTGGAATTCGTATCTACCAGCCAATGTTGGGATTCGAACATATCGGTTTGATCATAGGTTGCTGGAGTCGGAAATTCAGATTTCATAAATTATATTGTAAGCTGCGAATGTGTGAAATTGTAACTAGAACACGTATATGAAACCATGATCCTAAACAGGTTAAGGCATATTATTAGGAAGGATCTCTTTTTTTCCGATGAGAGATTTTTTTTTAACGGATCTGCAATTGGTATGTCTCAACAAGCTATATTTTTTGAAAATTCTATAATGTATTCCTAAGGGGTATCTTTTAAAATTCTTTTGCGTGACTGCTAAGCGTCCCTACCTTTCTCCTGCGTTGGAAGGTTGTAGGAAGGAGGTGATAAAACATTTCATTTTATGATGCGATACGTTAAGGTCATATGTTTTTCGCCGTGTGTTATTTTCCAAGGAGCAGGAAAATGAATATGTATGAGGTATATAAAACTAGGCGCTCATTATAAACTTGTAGAAAACATCAAATGAAAAACATTATTATTTAAATAAAAAAAAAAGCTGTAGCTCTCAAAACATAACTATATTCAAATTTGTAATCATTACTCCCGAATTAGGTAAGATCAATTACTTTTATAAAAGCAAAAAAAAAGTTGTCCCCCGATGTATTCTATGGGATCTCAATCTCATTTGCACTTTATTAGGCATAAAATTTCAGTCAAAATGAAAAAATTATGATAAATAACTGAAAGTCGATAGCTTTTAAGTCATTATTATGTAACTGCAATTAATTATTATGCATCTAAATAGTTAATTAATAACTGTCATTGTAGTTCTAAAGTAAATTTTTTTCTTCTTATACACAGTTTATAAATATATTTATTTGAGCAACAAATGAAGAAAAAAGAAATGAATAGTTTGGTAATTAACTTACGATTGCTAAGACAGGAACCAGGAGTCTCTGAAAATAAATGTGAATGTTCTAAAATTAACTCATGAAATTCATAATATATTTAAAAAAGGAGATTTATTATTAGAGTGCACAGTTATTCAATGTTATGCAAGTCCATTATGTTACAACAAGTAGGTTATTAATAATTTGACATTATTTGTATGAAAATATTGTTATTTTGTTTTTTACAACTTTCATTTTTCTATACCTATTTTGAATATTTTTTTTTAAATTGCACCCTGTAAATGCCAAAAGAAAAAAAAATAGTTCTACCATATTTTGTTTATAATTTTTCACTGACAAAATTATTTAAAGTGGAAAATGAACTAAAAAAAGTTATTTCCATTGTAAAACAGAAATATACTTCATTAACAGAGAATGTAAAAGATCAAGGCTTACCTCTAAGAAACCTATAAAGCATAATAAAGCTTTAATATTGTGCTGATAAGTGATACTATAATACGAATACGTCTGTACTAACTTTGTGTAAATATTATTTCTTTTAGCACAATGGCATGATTTAAATCTGATGGCGCAATTTAAAAGATTGCCAGAAGCTTTTGAAAATGCCATTTTTACTCATGAAAAATTTGCAACAAAATGAGCATTGAAAGTTTAAAACCTTTTACCTTTTACAATACTGCCTTGATTCTAAAAGTAATTTAATATAAACACAACATTGACTTCAAAATTCCTGGCATTAGAGCTTGAAAGAGATGTTATTATCCACCTCTTCTTATTTTCTTACAAACGTTGTTGAACAGCCGACCCAGTTTTTTAGGTTTACAACCACTAATGTTCCACTCCGTAGCTAATTTTGAACCCAATCCAGAAGACAAGGGAATTAACAGTTTGTGGACTGGTGGAACTAAACTGTACCTACGTTGCAGGGGGAGGAAAACGACGAAAACCTCCCACAGTTAGCTTAACAGTATGGGGACTCTAACCCATGATTCGTCTACCACTGAGGATATTTTACGGCAGCACTGAGGCATTACCTCTTACATCAAAAAGTCTTCACACGGTCTTTTATAAGTAGTTCGCGCAGACTATTTAAAAAGTGAATCAGTTGTGAGCATAAACCCAAAACCTTTTATAAAAGTAATTGAGAGAAATTCATCATATATGTTTGAGAATTGAATCTGTAGTGGTGGACAAGTGAATAAGTCAAACCAATAATATTCATAAATAAAACAAATTTTTAGTCATATATTTGCTACCACTTTCTTATTTTAACTAGATTTTGTATTAAGTGACTCGTTCGGAAACTGGATATCCTTCTCAGTGGTCTAATCGGACTACCTATAAAAAACCGTGTGGAGGCTTTCAGTTATAGGAGGCATCGACTAAGGTCGGTACAATCGGGATGAGGAATTCGTAAACATCAGCCATCGCTAGGATTCGAACCCGGTTCACCTCAATGGAAGGTGGATGCTCTATCCCCTGAAGCATCACAGCTCCTCTCCTTATTTCGGGAGAAGCAAATTTTTAATGCTTTAAAAAAAAAAGGCCTCTCATAACTAAAAGCCTCCACATGGTATATAATAGGTAGTCCGATTAGAGCACTATGAAGGTAAACCAGTTCACGAAAGAGCCATTTAATACAAAATCTAATAAAAATAAGAAAACGATAGCAAATATAAGTCTAAATTTTTTTTAAAAATCTATGAATATTATTGGTTTGCTTTATTTACTTGTCTAACATCAAAGATTCAATTCTCAAATATATATGATAACTTTCTATCGACTACTTTTGAAATAAAGGACCTTAAGATCTCATACTCCTAGTTCCGGACGAATGAACAAACTTTTGAAATAAATTTGGTTTCATGCACCCCACTGGTTCACTTTTTGTATAGTCAAAGCAGACTACATATAAAAAACCGTGTGGATGCTTACTGATGTAGGAGGTGATGATTAAAAAAAAAGACACCATTTTTAAATGCCTTAGACATGATCTTTCAAATGGTGCCAAGCAGTTCCGCCAAGTTAAATCTTGCAAACCATTTGCTGCCAAAAGAAAGATTTTTTATTCAGAAGTAGCATAGAAGTATTCGTATTATTTTGTCACTCATATACAAGAATTGAGCATACAACATTAGCATAAAACAGAGGCAAACTTGCCATTAAGCCTTCACTTAGGGGTACCACATGGAAATAGAAGTTTGTAGGAGGAAAGAATGAGAATTAAGGGCACTCAGACAAACTGTAATATGTTTATATTTATAAAAAAGTGTGTGGAAAAGTTACGAAACTGAACCCTAAGACCGGAGTAAGTATACTTCCAATTTTAAAGGTCCTTGATAAACTATTTTACGACTTTTAATTTGGGTTTTTATTTGTTTACAACTTCATCTTTCAGTGCCGAAGTACGTGGAAATAAAGACCCCCACAGAAACATTAATGTCACTCAAGACACAGTTTTATAAAAAGACGCCCAAAAATGCACAGCCGTTAATAACAACAGTATTCTTAAAGCCGAAATGCTAATTGAAAATACAATGAACATATCGGGCCTCAAGCCTCCACACTTTTTTAAATAAGTAGTCTGAGCAGATCATTTAAAGAGTGAATCGGTTGTGCGCATGAGCCCAAATTCTATTTTGAAAGTGGCTGAGAGAAATGTATTAAATATATTCGAGAATTGAATCCGTAGTGGTAGACAAGTAAGTAAGACAAACCAATCATATTCATAAAATAAACAAATTTTTAGACATATATTTGCTACCACTTTCTTATTTTAATTAGATTTTCTCTTAAGGGGCTCTTTCGTAAAATGGAATGCCTTCATTGTGGTCTGATCAGACACACTGAAAAGCATCCGCAGAACTGCGGATACTTTCAGTTATGGGAGGCGTTGATTTGTTTCTCACCGCAGTTCAGGATATATTCTTTAATGTCTTTCAATAAATTGTTCTATCTGTCCTTCTACTTGACAAAGGATGTTAAGTCCAAATTGAGCACACAAGCCTGCAAATGCATATAATTTCGAAAAAGCAATTACAGTTTTCTCTAAAAATCCACGACTTCAACATAGGTGAAAGCGAGGCGGAAAAGCTAGTAGTGAAATCACTTTTAATTTGCTTTCGGGAGGAGTAAATCAATTCTCTTCTTCAAACTATTCTACATAATCTACTTTTTCTTGGGAAAGTAGCAGTTTCACATCTACGCTATAATTGATTGTATATTATATTATAAAAGGGCTCTTGTAAACTGGTTTACATTCATAGAGATATGATCGGGCTATCTATTAAAAACCGTGTGGAGACTTTCAGTTGCAGGAGGTGTTACCCTAGCTCACGTTTCTATTAGCGATTTTATCTTATCAGACAAATTTAAAGAATCCTCCACTAATTTATTCAAATACTGGTACTTTTTTGTTTTATTTTAATTCATAACACTACAAGTGATTGGCGCGGCAGTCAATCTTTTAACTGCGATTACTTTATTGGTGTCGCTGCAATCACGACAAATAGTGAAATAAATCGAATAGTTCCCGAGTATTTCAATTTCTTGAAATTCGATTTTTCAGAAACTGTTCGACCGATTTCATTCAAATGTTGTATTTTGCCATGCAATAGTATACTCTTTGAAATTAAGTGAGAAATTATATGCCTTACAATTCCAAATTTTTTCGACTAGTATTAAATAAAATAACGAAAAAGCTTATACCGTTGCGACAGTTAACTATTTCATATATTTTAAAAGTTTTTTTTTTTTTGAGGTATTGCTATTACATTTTACAGAATGAAAAGTCTAACCGTATAAAAGTTGCAAGAGTTATTCGTCCTAGCATTGTTGCATAATTGGACGCATAAATATTTTCCGGTATGAAACCAGTGGATCTAATAACATTAAATCCACTGGATAGTTCGCGCAAGCTGTTTCAAAATACGACGTATACTTCTGCCTAAAATTGTAATATTTATTCTATTTTACTACCACTGGGGAAAATCATCCTCAAAAGGATTAAAAGTTGGCAGGTATGTAATATTATGTCCATCGAAGATTTCTGTGCGAGAAAATGCACGCCCTATAACGGAATGATACAAAAGGTACCTTTGTAAAAAATAAATAGGGGGGGGGGGTAAGAGAGAGATATTCCCTTAAATGTATAAATCAGGTGTAAATAAGATATGCTCTTTCCTATACTGTCGCTGGAAGTTTGAACGTGTATACACATGCTCTTTTGCGTGAAAGTGTTGTGTCTCTTTAATTTAGACCAAGAACATTACCATTTAGTATATGAGTAAATACCCTATTACTATCTTTTATAAGACCACTTTTTGCATTACTGTAAAATAAGTCCTGTATTTTCTCGATGCAGAACTTCCCGATCAACCTAATGTTATATTGTGTTTCACTTTCTTTATATTTAAAGAAGGAATAAAAATATTTGATAATCTTAGATTCTTTTTTTCAAAAAACAAAAATTAGTAAGGGAAGTGATAAAATTTATCGAAAAAATTTCTATGTAGAAGGTAAAAGTAGTAGCTTGTCTACTTAGAATAAATATAACTTAGAACTGTTATGAAAAAATCATTATAATAAAAAGAAAATAATTATAGTAATAGTTGACTCAAAAAACTTAAATACTACTCTTAATACATGAAACTTAAAATTTTACTCTAAAAGTGATTAAAAAAAATATTTTTATCATTCATTTAAAGAACTCTCTGGCACTGACTTTTGAATTTATAATTGTTTATTATTAGTATGTATTACACTTTTTGTATGTTTTTCCTATAATGATTATATTTCTCTTTTTTTTATATATGTTTACTTTGATGACTATTTTTGCACTTACCTGGTTGGTCTGCTATAAATAATAAAAAAAATAACTTTATCACACAATTATTTCGATACGAGTTTACCGTTGAATAAACTTTCTTAACATACCTGAATCACCTTTTTTTTCTGCACCTATTCAAAAAAAGAAACAAAATTCCATCACATAATTGTCATTTTATTGTTTTAACACTGAAAGTATATTTATTTAAATGATTTGCATGTAGTGGCAGTGAAAATCATTTTAAATCACATTTATTAGCATTAGAACCAAATATTAATAAAAGAATTAACATAACTTAGGTAATAACATTCTCTCGAAAAGTTCGAAAGAGTTGGAATGTATAATAATATAATACAGGGTAGTTCAAATTTAATTGGCGATATTCAGAAGGTCCTAGCATCGATTGTCCTTGACGGTACTAAACGATATTTAAAAAATTATTTAGATAATTAAGGAAAGCTTTCTATCAAAAAAATTAGCTAGAAATTTTGTCAATAGAGAGCTTGTTTTGCTAAAACTGCATACAAAAGGAATAAAACACAAATAAAAGTACAGAAATGAATATACACTATAGCAGGGATGGCGAACCAAGGGCACGCGTGCCATTTATTGCACGCGACACAATATTTTGGGCACGCCACCGATCACAATTGTTATTGCACTATGAGTTGTTATTACACAAATGTCACACACTATGAAGCATATGTAACAATTAAATTAAAATTCACAAAAAACAAACAAAATAANGCACTTACCTGGTTGGTCTGCTATAAATAATAAAAAAAATAACTTTATCACACAATTATTTCGATACGAGTTTACCGTTGAATAAACTTTCTTAACATACCTGAATCACCTTTTTTTTCTGCACCTATTCAAAAAAAGAAACAAAATTCCATCACATAATTGTCATTTTATTGTTTTAACACTGAAAGTATATTTATTTAAATGATTTGCATGTAGTGGCAGTGAAAATCATTTTAAATCACATTTATTAGCATTAGAACCAAATATTAATAAAAGAATTAACATAACTTAGGTAATAACATTCTCTCGAAAAGTTCGAAAGAGTTGGAATGTATAATAATATAATACAGGGAAGTTTAAATTTAATTGGCGACATTCAGAGGGTCCTAGCATCGATTGCCCTTGACGGAACTAAACGATATTTCGAAAATTATTTAGATAAATAAGCAGAGCTTTCTATCAAAAAAAATATGTTTTGCTAAAACGAAAGGAATAAAGCGCAAATAAAAGTATAGAAATGAACATACACTATAATATCGGTTCAATAAGCAACAGCCTTCCTCAGTGTCTAAACACAAAACGGCAGTAGAAAAGTAAAGGGACAAACAGATGCAAAATGATATGAACAGAGGAACAAATTTAGGCTAGATAATAAAAAAAAGAAGGTAAGAGAGAAGATAAAAAAATACCAGGTGTGAGGGTGTTGAGTGGAAACCCCCAGGGTGTAAAAAATTCAATTTGAATAGATTTATATACGTTGGGAAAAGATGGGACACTCGAAACATCATTAACTATTGTGTGGAATAATTCCCAGAAATCAAGGTCGGTAGATGAAGAGCAGTGTTTAATGGTTATATTGCAAAAGAAAACTCTAATTTCTAATAACAAGATTTCAACATTTAAGCAGAATTTCGAAAACTTTTGGTGTATCCATCCGCTTTTATTACATTTTCGAGATGATGTGATGACCGGCTAAATACTGCAGGAAAATTAATAATTGAATTTTCAATCAAAATTCGCATGTACTTTTACCTTTTATGTATTTTTTTTCTTATTTAGAAATTCTAACATGTCCTTAGTCATAAGTAGTTATAAAGAAATTGATAGCATGAAATCAATAAAGGATAGGCAGTATTTAGAACGTTATCTTCATTTTATTACGTCTTCAGCTAAATTTAAAATGATTTGTAAACTGAAATGTTAATAGCTTTATTTTTTATTTAAAACAAATTGGGTGCCTGGGCCGCGCAGTGGCCCCTTATCCATAAATCATGAAAATAGTATACAGTGTATGAAAACATTTTGTATTATGCATCATTATGGTGGCAGAAATGTTAATAGCACAAGTCATTGCAGGGTTCCCACGATCTGGAAAAATATAAACGAGTGGTAGCTATGGTTTTTCAAGACTTCTGAAAAATACTTAAATTTAGCATTTATTTGAGAATAACGAAATTATTTTAACAGTATTTTTTTTTGCACTCGTATATATTTTCCTTATACTAAAAATTCATTGGTAGCTTAAAACATCTAGATTTATCTCACATTTGCTACAACTTTAAGAAATTTTTCAGACTGCGGGAACCCTAATAAAGTAAACAGTACATTTAAATGGTAATATCGGAGGCGCTAAAATAAATCGGTGGTAGCAACGCAGAGCTCATACTACAAATTTTAAACGCTAGCACCACCTGTGTTATACGGTCTACTCTCACACTCACAGAGTAAGCAGGATGTAAGTAAAATCCTGTTATTCTTAGAATTTTTGAAATATTATTTTTCTTTTTTTCTGTGTTTACTGTGCTATAGCTCCTGCTGGTGGCAGAATTATAATATTTATTTTATGGGAACCTTATCCTCATCCTTGAAATTCCATTCGGATCCTTTTTATAGAACATCTTGGTACCGTGACTTTAATTATAACCACTCTATATTATGCAATCTTTATTTAACCATTTCAGCACTGATATAGCTCAGCCTAGAAATTGCGTTTAAGTGGTAGCCAAGTTTTGAATTTTTTTTTTTATCGTGTTGTGAAAGCTTAAATACTGGTTTATGAAATTAAATTGGAAGTTAACTTTACGATATTTTTAGCAGTCTAAAGAGAAGTTTGCCCCCAATCTTTAATTTTTCTAGGTTGAGGGATGGATTTGTCCTTTCTGTAAAACGGGCTGTGAAATATGTGTAGGGCAGAAATCGAATTGTTGGCAATAGAGAGAACCACTGTAAAACAAGAAGAGGCACTTCTTTCTCTGTTTTAAAATAAGCTTGTCAGTATTGACAAGTGGCATAAGACAACAACAGCAACAAATAATATGCCTCTTTCAGAAAATATGCATTCGAAGTTATAATAACATTGTGGAAAAGCAGATATCTCTAGACGCGCGGAAACACCTATTCACCAAATATTGCAGCATGATGCATCTTTGTACTGTCTTTCTCTAATTTGCAATGTTCTTCAAATTGGTAAGTGATTAAATGCCATTTTTGGTATGAGCACACAAGCCTGCACGTGTAATAAATAATAAATAAGAAAAGGTGAGGATAAACGATCTCAACTGGTTGAGAGATTTTGCCAAATACTTTGTAACATAAAAATAGCGAGCTCTTTTTTTTATAAAATAATTTTTATCAGTTAATATTTTTAAAAAATTAAAGCATGTTTACATTCATAGCTAAAATATCTACAAAAAGTTAAAACTATGAACTTACCGGATCCATCTTTGCTTGCAACATCTTATAAAGAAAAACATACTATTTAACAAGTACTTTGAAGCTGATTACAAAACTATATGCTTTACTTTAACTGCTAAAAATTAGCATTTTGAAAAATATCAATATAAGATTAAAAATTTGAATATTGGTTGAGAAACCAATTTTTTTTTTTAGTGAGTAGAATAATATCAAACCCAAATCTATAGGGCTAATAATCTTAAAAGTTATTAGGTTTCTTGCAACAAAAAAAAGCAGTAATTTTTTAATATTTAAACCTGAAGTTTTGATTTACTTAACGTTTCTATCTAGACAAATTGATAAATCAGGCATTATTTCTGATGTTTAGTATCTGTACATTGAATCGAACTACACCAAATTTAAGTCGTTAAGAGTCATAGTTTAAAAGTTATAAGAAAATACAATTTTAGACTATTGCCTATTTACTTATCTGATATTGCTATCTAGACAAATGAGATATAATTTTTTATTTATTTTTTACTGCATATCAAATAAAACTAAAAATATGTGAGTAGAATAAATATTTAACCCTTTGTTCTCGAAGCCCTATCAATTTTTAACAGTTAAAATAACGGAGACAACAACTGAAAGAGAGAATATATAGAGAGAATATATAGAATACATACATACATATATATATATATATTTATATATATATAAGTTCCTTACTAATTTCTCCTTTAACTTCCTGCTTT